TCCTTTTCCCACTCTCCGGGCCCTGTTGCGCCAGCCTTGGAACTTTTTGGGGCTCGTCAGGGGGCTCAGTTGGAGACGTCTTGAAGCTGTCTCGGCGCCCCAAGAGCCAATCGGAAGCGACAAGGCGAGAAGACCAAAAACCTAGCTTTTTCCAATGATTTTCCTAAATCTATCCGTCCTTGGGCCCCACTTTCCGGGCCCAGTTGCGCCAGCCTTGGGTCTCTTTGGGGCTCGTCTGGGGACTCATCTGGAACCGTCTTGGAGGCATCTAGACGCCTCAAGAGACGATTGGAAGTGACAACAGGAAGCGAAAACACGAAACGGCTGAAAACATTATTTTTTTCAATGGATTTATTATAATGTCCGACACTCCTGGCCCAGCTGGGCCAGCCGTCGGCCTCTTGCGGCCTCAAATTGTTATGATTTGTTTCGAATCTCCGAGCCCTCAAAAGCCAGCCTGTGGCCTCTGTGACGTTCCCGCAGTTGTCAATGCCTCTGGAGGACTCCTCTTCATATTCCCGATGTCGTCCCTTCGTGGGACTCTCTCGGACAATGCGTCGGCCCTCTGGGGCCTCCGTCCGATGGTCTCGGGCATTTCTTCGCCTCCCCCTCGAATGTCCTACGCCTGCTGTGCGCAGCTGTGTGTGTGTCAAGCTCTGGCGTCCCTCCTCTGCGACGATACCTCCGATCAAAGCGGATGCATTCGCGTGCGGTACATGTGCAGAGTGCTTACCGCGACACGCTTTCTCCCAAACGCAATTGGATAATTGGACGAATCCTGACCCACTCCGACTTGGCGGTGGCCGGCCCCGCGTCCACGCGCGCGCCAATGCAGTCTGTTTTTTTTATATATATATATATACACATATGTGTTTATATATATATAAATATGTGTGTGTGTATTCCGATCCATATATCTTCTTTATAGGGCTGGGGGCGCCGGCAAAAGCCCCCCCCCCTGACGAATTTGGCCCTCCCTGGGCCTCTGGGCAGCCCTTCAGACGACCCAGGAGAACCTCACGAGAGCCCGAAGACGGCCCCTGACGGGTTCTAAGCGTTCCGGCGCGCTCCCGAAACGACCCCAGAGAGCCCCAATACGGTCCACGACGACCCCCAAGAAGCCGCCATCCCCCCAAAGATCGCTCCGAAACGTCCCCAAAAGGCCTCCAAGACCACTCCCAGAGGCAAAAGCCATTGATTTTCTGTGGGTTCTTGGTGAATTTTGGGGTTCTCCTCTTTTCGGCTTCCCGACGCTCCAAGACGGCGGTCTTCTGGGCGTCCGAAGCCGCCTGGGAGGCTCCAAAATCACCCCACGACCACCCGAAAGGGCTTCCAGGCAGTCCAAGAGAGCCCCAAAACGGCACAACAAGGGTCCAAGATGGCCCTGATAGAGCCCCATGGCGGCCCAAGATGGCCCCAAGACACCCTCCGAAGCATTCCAAATCGTGACCCGGTCGTTCAGGAAGACCGCGGTTGGAGGCAGGGTGGTCCGAGGAAAGCCCCAGAGGCCCCCAGAACACGCTCAGGAGGCCTCCAGAAGGCCTCAAGAAAGCCTGAAAAACTTTTGTGAGGCCCCCAGAAGCTCTCCAAGGAAGAGCCTCCGCAAAAAGAGCTGAGGCGGATGGGGGGAATGCGCAGAGGGTATGGCGAGAATGAGGAAAAAGAAACATGAGGGAAGGATAACGAAACACATTGTTATAACGGCGATGCTGGAAAAGGCAACAAGTAAATATCGCTAAATTGTCGGCTTCACCTCCTGCCATTCCGCCTGCATACCAAACTTCAAGGACCAAGGTGCATGGCGCGGAGCGCCACTGCAGTCTTGTAAATCTGTATATATATATATTTATATACACGTATATACAGATGTACATCTATTCCCCAATCAGAGCTTGCCTCTGTAGGGGTCCTGGCGGATTCATATGGTTAGGTTAGGTTTGTCGCCGATTTTCGCTGCACGCCCGTGTGCCCGGGTGCCCGGGGGTGCCTGGGGGGTGCCCGGGTGTGCCCGGGTGTGCCCGGGGGGGCCCTATAGCCCTATAGCCCTATAGCCCAATAGCCCAATAGCCCTACAACTCTATAGCCCTATAGCTCTATAGCCCCATAGTTCAATAGCCCTATAGCGCCCTAGCCCTATAGCCCTGATTGGGTTTTTCTCTGGTATGTACATATATATATATATATATATACACATGCATATGTGTATGTGTATGTGTGTGTCTAAGGAATTTGATTCGGGGGAGGACGAGGGGGATGAAGACGAGGGCGATGATGAGCAGGAGACAAGAGCTCCTCCATCTCCCACTTCCTACCTCCTCCTCCTTCTCCTCCTCTCACCTTCTACCCCCTACCTCCTCCTACCTCTCACCTCCTCCTTTTCCTCCTTCTCCTCCTCCACCCCCTTCCCATCCTCACCGCCGTGCCCCTGCCAGCGCCTGCGACGCGGGCCCGGCGGGCGGCGCGAGCGAGTGGGCGAGGCCAAGCCCGAAGCTGACCGCCCCTGGTGAGGGCCCAGAAGACATTGCAGTGAGCTGCAGGTCCCCCTCCCCCTCCCGTCCCCTCTTCGCCCCATCCTGCCCTGCATCCCTCGTCCCCCTGCCCATCGTCTTCATTGCACCCCCCCCCACGCCCCCCTCCCATCCCCCCTTTGCCCTATTCTCCCCCCGTCCCTCGTGCCCTCCTCCCCCTCCCACATGGTCCCCCTCGCCCACCCCCCTCGTCCTTCTCGTGTCCCTCGCCTCTGGCCGCCCCCCCCCCCGGCCGCTCCGCTTCGCCTCTCCATCGCCTCCCCCTCCTTCCACTACCACCACCACCTCCTCCTCCTCCTCCTCCTCCTCCTCCTCCTCCTCCTCCTCCTCCTCCTCCTCCTCTCCTGACCACAGACGCACCAGTCCAAGACGATTGGGAGGCTGTTCTCATCCATGGTGGGTGGCTGTCTGTTCCTCCAATATGGAGTTCTCTATGGGGTCACGGAGCATATGATGGGATTTGCCGAAATGAGCGGCGCCGCCATACGACGGCGCCCGCTGGAGCCGTAGGTGGGGCCCTTTATGGCGCCACGACGCGTGTGAGGGGCGTGCCGACATGGACGTAGCGCCGCCACTCAACGGCGCCCGCTGAGACCGCAAATGTGGCGCTCCCTTTGGAACCACGAAGCGTGCGAAGGATGTACCGAAATGGGCCCGGCGCCCCCACACGACGGCGCCCACTGAGATTGCAGGTGGAGCTCACGATGGGGCCACGAACCGTGTAAGGGATGCGCTGAAATTAGGAGGATGGGGGGAGATCTGCTGATGGCGTGTATGCTACTGGCGCACGTCTTCCAACCAGGCAGACACGCTCACGGCACGAGAATCATCGGAGACGACAATGGGCCACCAGCTCTGCACTCGAGCACCCTTGCGTGCAGTGCCGGCACGCGCAGAAAAGCTCGCTCCAACGTTGCGGACGGAGGGGAAGAGGATGTGAGCTTAAGAATCGGCGGTGGACAAACTGTCCTTTAGTAAACCATCCCTTAGCGAAAACGGCCTGGGGCCGAAACCGGCGGATCTGGACCCGCAAGAATGACGGTCGCAACGGCCTCTCACGAACCGAAGACGGCCAATCCGCGAATCGACGTGTCAGGGCAGGAGGCCGATCGACCTCCGAAGGAAGCAAGGCGAGAACGACGAAGACGGAGAGGCAAACATTGCGTGAGCAGCCCGGCTCTCGGCTTGCTCCACACACCGAGGCCCGGTTCTTCATTTTTGCCAACTGCTCCAGGGGGCCCGGGCGTCGTGGCGTCACGGTACAGCGCTCCACAGCGCTCCACGAAAGGGGAAGCAGGCGGGATGGCACAGCGCGGCGCTACTTCTTCCAAAGGAGACGCGACACCACAGGATGGTTGGGAAAAGACGCAACAAAAATACGGGTGAAGGGGGGATCGACAAGAATCGTTCCGAGCAGTCAGCAGCACCAAACACGCAAGGCATAAACAAAATATTCGAATGGAGGGCAATGACAAAAACTTCCGGAGTGGTGCCCGAACTGTGATGTTGGAACTTTGGGAGCCTCTGGGCCTCTCTGGAAGCCACTCGCGCGCAGATTTGAAGCTCTCGTCGAACTCCAGCTTCGGGGAAGGGGTTCCGACCTCCCAAAGTAGCCGAATACTTTCGAAACGCGTCGGGATTTCTACGTTGGAGGTCTGGGGGTCTCGGGCGAGGAGGAGGAGGAGGAGGAGGAGAAGGAGGAGCAGGAGAAGGAAGAGAGGCGCGGTCGCCCGATCCCGCCCCCTTGTGCCCCACAGGGGGGCCGAGACAGTGGCCAGCGCGGCCATATCAGGCCCGCGATAGACGTCTACACCTACAACCTGATCTGTTTTTCTCGTCCCCGGCATGGGACCACGCCGACATCCACGGCAAAATCCAGATCACCAGCTTGGCACAGGCGCCTGGGCCGCGAACGTGCTGACGCCCGAGTACTACTACGTGTTGCTAAAGCACGACAGCTACTCGCCGCTCATCACAGCGCCTAGCGCTCATTGCTGGAACTTTTGATGGGTGTCGCCGACACCCACCACAAGTTGCAACAATGGCGACTTAATGGAAGCCAGCGGCGAGCTGGGCAACGAGCATGACCCCACCACCGCGGCCGACTACTAAAGCGATTGAGATGGGGCTCGAAATATCGAGAAACGAGCAATGGGCTGCCCAACACCAGGACGCCTGCTGGAACAAGGGTAAGGGCGACCAGAACTCCAACGGCAAGGGGACGTCCAGCTTCCCACATCCCTACGACGCCAGCGACTCCCGCCTGGCGGCATAACGGGCAGGCAGCAAACGCGCGCCTCTCCTCCCGTTGCTCCTCGTCGTGTCGCCCGCTCCTTCGTTCTCCCTCCAGGCCACCTCCTTTTACGCTCGGCGCCAAGGGGCCTGATTTCCCACAATGCCCCCCCCCGCTCCCCTCAAGGGTTGTGGAGGCGGGCGGGGGGGCCAAGGGCAGCGTCGCCCTGCATTCGACCCTGATACCCGCAGCGTGAGCGTACGCGTAACCGTGAGGAGGAGGAGGTGGAGGTGGAGGAGGAGGAGGAGGAGGAGGAGGAGGAGGAGGAGGAGGAGGAGGAACAGCAGGAGGAGGAGGAGGAGGAGGAGGAGGAGCAGCAGGTGGAGGAGGAGGAGAAGGAGGAGGAGGAGCAGGAGGAGGCTTCCTTTCCGAGGGGGCTGCGCATTTGGAAAAGGGGCTTCTGCGGGGTCGTTGGGCTCGGCTCGTCTGATCGGTCGTTCCTCGCGCGTTTTGCTGGATTCGGCTCCCGTGCCGGCGCCCTGATCCAAGGGTCGGGGTCTAGCCGTTCCGCGCTGCCGCCAGCTTTCTTCGGTGCACATGTTTCGACGGTTATTTCTCCCGTCAGCATTCCTGGCTGTTCCACTTTCTGTTGCCAGCTACTCATCGACGCACCTGGTCGAATCGGCGCCTATTTTAGTGTCAGCGCTCCTAGCTGTTCCACTCGCTGCCAAGCGCTACCATTGACGAGGCGGCGGTCGGAAGTCCTGGCTGCACCGCGTCCCGCCTCACACCTCGAGTCCCATCGGGGGTGTCCGTCGCGATCGGGTCGGCGGATCCTGCTGCGCCGGGAGGCTCGTGTCCACTCCGCCGCTCCTTCCTTGAATCGCCCGTCCGTCCAAGGCGGCCCGTCCGCGGTCCTGGCTGCACCACGTCTTACCTGACCACGGGGTCCTGGCCCGTGCTCGCCCTTCGCACGCGCGCTGTTCACCTGGGCTTCCCTTGGCCTCACCATTTCTTCGCCTAGGCGGAGGAGGAGCAGGAGGAGGATGGGGAGGAGGAGGAGGAGCAGGAGGAGGAGGATGGGGAGGAGGAGGAGGAGGAGGAGGAGGAGGAGAAGAATGAGGAGAATGAGGAGGAGGAGGAGGAGGAGGAGGAGGAGGAGGAGGAGGATGGGGGGGAAGGAGGAGGAGAAGGAGGAGGAGGAGGAGGAGGAAGAGGAGGGGTCTGCGACCAAGTCCACCATGAGAGTGAGTGAGTGAGTGAGTGAGTGAGTGAGTGAGGAGGAGGAGGAGGAGGAGGAGGAGGAGGAGGAGGAGGAGGAGGAGGAATTCATCTTGGCAGGTTGGGGCTACAGGAGCCTGTTGGCGACGGTGGTTGTGAGTGGCGGCGGCGTTCTGGCCTCGACTGCGGTATCGATCATCTGGGCAACTCCGCAGAAACAAACCGCCAGCTATCGGCGAGGCGGCAAGCGTCCATTTGCCACCTTCAATGTATAGACACATTCCTTCTACCTATGAAATTACAAGGAAAAGCCCGGCATGTCACCGTCCCCCCCCCCACCCCGGGCATCCGCGCACGAACCTCAGAACCCCTCCATGGCGCCTCGAAGAGGCCTCAAGACGGCCCGAGAGGCCTCCAAGACGGCCCCAGGAGGCCCCCAAGATCGTCCAAGAGGGCCCCGAGACGCACCAAGATTGCTCCACGACGCCCAGGATAGTCCCACTATGGCCCAAGACGCCTCCAAGACGCCCGAGGAGGCGTCCATGAGGCTTCCCGAGAGGGCCCCAAGAGGCAAAAACGGCTGGTTTATTTGATGGTTGTTTAATGTTTCTGTGGGTCTCGCCTTTTCGTTTTCCCGACGCTCCAAGACAGCGCAAGAGGCCCCCAAGATCGCCCCATAACCGCCCAAAAGGACCCGAAACAGCCCCAAGACTGCCCCAACGGGCCCCAAGACAGCCCAAGAGGCTTTTAAGACGGCCCAAAAGGGCCTGCTCCAAGAGAGAGTCCAGACGGGGGACCCGAACGGACTTTTCGGGCTTTGGCCCCAAGAGGCCCCCAGGAGGCGCCAAGAAACGTCCTGGATGCACCCAAGAGGCTCCCAGAGGCCCCCACGAGACTCCCAAGAGGCTCCCTAGCGGTCCCCAAGGGCCCCCCAAACGGCCCCCAACAGGCACCGAACCGGGCCCCAAGAGGCTTCCGAAATGCTTCCAAGAGGCCCCCAAGAGTCCTGCCCCCAATATCCACCAAGAGAGCCACGAGACGCACAAAGATCGCTCCACGACGCCCAAAATAGTGCCAATACTGCCCAAGACGCCTCCCAGACGGCCCAAGAGGCGTCCAAGAGGCTTCCTTAGAGGGCCCCAAAAGGGAAACATGTTTTTTGTTTGTAGGTTCTGGAAGGTTTCTTTGGGTCTCGCCTTTTCAACTTCCCGACGCTCCAAGACAGCCCAAGGGGCCCCCTAAATCGCCCCATAACCGCCCAAAAAATCCCCGAAACATCCCCAAGACGGCCCCGACGGGCACCAAGACAGCCCCAGAGGCCTCCAAAACGGCCCAAAAAGGCCTCAAGACGGCTCTTTGAGAGGGAGCCCAGACGGGGGACCCGAACGGACTTTTCGGGCTTTGGGCTTTGGCCCCAAAAGGCCCCCAGGAGGCGCCAAGAAACGCCCTGGATGCCCCCAAGAGGCTCCCAGAGGCCCCCACGAATCCCCCAAGAAACTCCCTAGCGGTCCCCAAGGG